AAACAGGAAAACAGAACACATGTAATAAAACTGTGAGGTTGTAAGCTGGTGGCACATACCTCTATGGGTAGTCCTTGACTCACAACCACAACTGACCCCAAACTTTCTGTGGGTAAGCGAGACACTTTGTTAAGTGAATTTTGCCCCATTTTACAGCCTTACCTGCCACCGTTGTTGTTTGAATCGGTGCAGTTAACTAAGTTAGCAACACAGCAGTTAAGTGGATCCAGCTACCCCACTGCTAGTCAGAAGGTCACAAAAGGGGAAATCACACAACTCCCCTGGCACGCTGCAACCGTCAGAAGTACGAGTCAGTGGCCAAGCCTCTGAATTTTGATCACGTGACCACGGGGAGGCTGCAACGGTCATAAGTGTGAAAAACGCTCAGAAGTCCCTTCCGTGCTGTCGTAACTTCGTTCGGTCAGTAAACAAACTGTTGTAAGTCAAGGACTAACTTGTGCTTTAGCTTTGTGTTACCAACTGCCCAGAAGATGTTTGTCAAGGTCCAGACTCTGACCATTGTTAATAAAAAGTAGGCGTCGCATGATGGGCTTAGAATAAGCCAGACATCTCCCTGGTCTCTGCAGCTAAGTCTAAGTTATCCCAAAGGTGTTTTTTTAAAAGAGGCCACTGGACTTTCTTGTTTTTCTTTGAAGACGTTTCGCTTCTCCTCCCAGAAGCTTCCTCAGCTCCATCCGGTCAGAGTCAGCTTCACCCTCCAATCAGAGCTGAAGAAGCTTCTGGGACGACAAGCGAAACGTCTTCAAAGAAAAAACAAGAAAGTCCAGTTGCCTCCTGAAAAAAAAAAAATCACCTTTGGGATAATCCAGAGGACCGAGACTCTCCTTAGACCTTTAGCTCCGTCTTAAGACTTTTTACAAGCTCGCTCGGCGTTGGGGGCAAGCGGTCAGCACACTGGACACTGACTCCTTCTCTGCCCCCAGGAATCTGCGGGGAGCCTCCGGGGGCTTCGTGGACGAAATCAACTTTGAAGATTTCCTGACCGTCATGTCCAACTTCCGCCCCATCGAGTTGAATATGGACGAGGAGCAGCTGGACCGTTCCAGGAAGCAGAAGTTGAAATGTAAATGGAGGGGGGGAATCCTCTTTTTTTGTAACCCCATCAGTGTGGGGGTGTTTGTGTGTGTGTGTGTGTGTGTGTGTGTGTGTGTGTGTGTGTGTGTGTGTGTGTGTGAAAGAGGGCTTATTTGGGCAATGTTTCATTGTATTTTAGGCAGCAACTGTAAGAAAGGGTATTAATTTGGGGCCAGAATTTCTGCTGGTTATTCACTTCTGATTTTACTATCTGTCTATCTATCTATCTATCTATCTATCTATCTATCTATCTATCTATCTATCTATCTATCATCCATCTACCTATCTATCATCCATCCATCCATCCATCTACCTACCTACCCACCTACCTACCTACCTACCTTTCTGCCTGCCTGCCTGCCTGTCTCTCTCTTTATCTTTCTGTCTCCCTGGCTCTCTCCATCCATCCATCCATCTATCCTGCAGGTTGATGGCCTCTTCCGTGCATGCACACACAGAGACAGACACACAGACAGACAGACACACACACATATTAATCACAGTATATTTTGAATACATATGGGAAAAAAGAGTCTTGAGAGTTAACAAGATTGGGACTATATGGTACTATTACAGAATCTAGATGTTCTGCTTCGGATAGCACAAAGCCCCTCCCCCTCCCAGAAGGTAACAAGGAAAACAGGTCATGAAGAGGATGTGTAGCGTCCCAGACAATACTACGGACTCTGGCCATAACCTTGGGGACGATAACAATCTACCAAGATGCACTAAAACTTGCCTTATGGGTATCAACCCAGGATGGTTTTACTTATTGCACCTCAGTGGATTGAGCAGTTAGGATGGATGTTTATTTTGCATTTGGTTTTCAGGCTTATTTTTTTCCTCTTTTGTATCTTCCAGTCCTCTTCCATATGTACGATGGAGACAGTGATGGGAAGATCACCTTGCAGGAATACAGAAATGTAAAGTATCACTTTGGCCTTCCACTCAACCTGTTGCTCTTTCGGTGATCTGCTGCTGCTGCTGCTTCTGCAACCGGTTTTACTTGCTTCTCCTGGCCAGGTGGTCCAACAGATGCTCTCAGGAAACCCCCACCTGGATAAGGAATCCGTGAGATCCATAGCGGATGGAGCCATGATGGAGGCTGCTAGCATCTGCGTGGGACAGATGGTAGGTTGAGATTGGTCCTCAAGAACAGGAAAAGGGGCTGCAGCTTGGCCATCAAGCGTGGGAGAGTTCTTTCCCCAAACACAGGGGTCTTCAAACTTGGCCCTTTGATGACTTGTGGACTTCAACTCCCAGAATTCCTCAGCCAGGCATGCTGGCTGAGGAATTCTGGGAGTTGAAGTCCACAAGTCATCAAAGGGCCAAGTTTGAAGACCCTTGCCCAAACAGATGCTCCACCTTTAGTTTGTTCATCCATCCCATCCATCCATCCATCCATCCTAGTTAAATTTCGTTCTGACGTGGTCTTGTTTCTTGAGCTGACCCCTCCATTTTGCTAACAATCTCTATCTTCTCCAAGGTCAACCTTATGTTGGTCTATTGCCATTTCTCTTTCAAATGGCTGGGATTTTATACCTGATTGGGTTGTCTTCCACGGGGGATGTAGGTGTTCTAAGATACCACACCTTCACACAATGGGCTTGCACGGCTACACAAAGGATGTTGTTTGGAAGCCGTGAATTCTTTGCTCGTAGGACCATCACCTGGGTCCTTGGGTTGGCTCTGAGGATGCACTGAGGACTTTCTCAGATGTGTGTCTTTCCACTCTGGCTTTCAGTGCCACAATCAGAAGGGTTGGGTAGCTGTGCCCGGGTCTGACACAACACAGGCCAACTTTAGGAGCAACTACACGGAGCATTTCAGAAGATGGAGATCCCCCAAGTAATATTGGAAAACCTGAGGAGGAGAAACGATGAAGAGCTTGGCTAAGGTCTTTGGTGCCTTCAAGGGGGATTCATCTTGATCCTCATGTCAACTTCTTTCATTCACTAATCTTTATCAAGAGCACGATAGAAGAAAATTAGAGATGGTGCCAAACATAGATTTCCAGATGCTGTTGGACCACAGTCCCCAGCATCCCTTACTCTGGCCTGAGGCTGCTGGGAGTTGTAGTTTAGCAACATCCGGACAGGTTTTCTGCCTCTGTTACTATTTTGTTCTTTGTTCATTATCTGTCTGTCTATATCATCTACCTATCTACCCATCCATCCATCTCTATTTCATCTATGTCTTTTCTTTATCCACCTTTTCTCTCTTTCATCTGTCTATAGCTTCACATTTTACATCTCTTTATCTCATCTATATTTCTCCTTATCCATTTTTTTATCCATCTCTCTATATCTCTTCTTTGTTTCATCTCTCCCTCCCTCCCTCTTTCCCTCCCTGCAATATCTTTTTTTGCTTGTAATCCATGGAGAAAGATGGGGGTATTATACGTATCATAAATAGAAAAAAAACGCTTTTTGTAACATAACTGTTGCTAAAAGTGAAATGAATGCAGCAGAGCCATCGTATACCCACTCGAGTAAAAATACTCATCGTGTGATATCTCACCGGTTGAATAATTTAAGAGACCTAGTAGTTATCCAGTGTGTTAAGTTTTCCTTCTCCCTCCTTGCCTCTTTTTCCTTATGTCGTGTCATGCTGACTATAAATGTACAGGCCAAATGGTATAAAAAAGACTTTTGCAGAAATATTAGCAACTTTATTAATAAAAGTTAACACAATCCTTCATGCAACCCATGTAAAAAACAGGTAGGCTTTGATAGGATGATCACAATTGCCCTTGTGACTCCCCCCCCCTTCCAAGTGCCCCCTGGAGGCTTGTGTAAAGAAAAAAAAATACAGCCTCTTTTATCCCTTTTTCTAATTAAATAAATACAAAAAAAGAAAGCACCAAATTCTAAAGGGACAAGCTAAAAAAAGAAATGAAAACATGCAGGATATATATTTACAGAAGGTCTATATCCATAAACGGAAGTGAAGTGATGATTCATTACAGACATTCACAGCTAATCTATATTCATCAATTGTGCAAACCACAGAATAGTTGCAGCCATATGTTTGTCTTTCCAGGGCTGAACAATACAGTAAGTCTCTTGGCTATAAATGCATTTCCATTGTGCAGATCTCAACTCCCACATGCAAGAGATAAATCTCAAAAGAATCGAAACATCTGAAAATATTAAATCTTAAAAGTCGAGTTAATGCATGTTGATTCCTTCAGCCTCAAATAGAACAATATGTTTAAATAACAGCACGAAGACCTCAACAACAGTTCTGAAATATTATTTCTGGCTGAAATAGATGTAACCTTAAAAAAAAACAACTATTGGATTTTTGGCTTTTTTGAAACAATATTTTTTATTAGTTAAGTAAAAACATGCAAACGTAATTGTTGCGTTGTTGCAATGTTTAATTTTGTTCTCACAATAACCTCTTGAGACGGGAGCCATAGAATTTGAATTAATACATAATAAATAAATAAAAAGGTAAGCAAAGAAAAAGATACCTACACATACTTAAAGGATTTAGTTTAAAAAGAATGTTTTTTTCAAAACTATTATAAAACGGGCATTCTGGTAGCTCCTTCTCTTTCTATACCCTTCTCTTTTTCCTCCAGCCATTTTAACTGATTGTTAGTTAAATATTTTTATACTTTGAACATTTCTGTTTGCATCATTTTTTACTATTATACACAGTTTCTTTTTCACCAAAAACCACATTTTAGGTGTTTTAGCTTGATATGTTGCATGTAAGGAAAGCACCCCTGTGTGAATTTGGTTAGACTTCTGCTGTGAATATATTCAGACAGTTTTTCCATGGCTGTATATTCTTTCATTTTAATCTTCAAATCCTATACGGACAGGACAGTTTTCCTTCCCCAATGTTGTGCCAATGTGATTCTTGCCGCTGTCAGCTAATGCCTTAATTTTCATTTATATCCCCTGGCATCAGACCTAATAAAGATATCCCTGATTTTAATTCAAATTTCATTGTCCGAATTTCCTGCATGTTAGGGCGTATTTCCTTTTCTACTTTGTCTGATTATTTCCTTTTTATTTTCCCTTCCTGAAATGAATCTCTTTTCCTTCCTAATCTTAGGAGCCGGATCAAGTCTACGAAGGGATCACATTTGATGATTTCCTGAAGGTGAGTCGATCTTTTTGCATTTTTATTGGCTTAGAAAGACGAGGCTGGCGTCCTGCCCGTATCTCTACTCAGCTCTGCCAAGCAAACCCCCTGCAGTTTGTTTTTTTAATACTCATTTCCAAATTCACAGAAAAAATCTCCAGTCAGGTTTTTCCAATACAAACTCTCCCAAATAATCAGCGTTGGGGAGAGATGGTGGATTAGGGCTGGAAATTCACTGGACATCACTCAATCCTTTCTTTTGCTATCTTGCAAAAACTGCTATGTGGGTAGAGTACAGATAGTCCTTTGATTGAGTCACAATGGCACTGAAGAAGCTGATTATTACATTGAGATCTACATGTCGTCTTAGGCCAAGGCAACGTGAAGATGGATGGAAGGTACTAGTTGACTTGGCCTACTCTTGTGTCAGTTCTAGGAAAAAGGTCAAACTTCAGAAGTTTGACTCAGAGGAAAATAATTGGAGCTAAATAGTGATTTGTCTCAAGCATATCCATGGAGCTTCCTGGTTGAGCAAACATCGAAGCAGGATAATGGATGATTATGCTTAATTTAGGGATTGAAAAGGGACCTGCTGTAACGACCAAGCTTAGTGCGTTTCAGATCTTGCCTTCCCTAATCTCAGCCCCCCAGGCCTCTCATCCGTGGCCCCTGGCCTTGTGGCTTCTCAAGCATAGGAGCCAGAACAGAAGATGGGAATCCCAACTATCTTCAGCTCTGTAGGAGTAGACAACCCTGGTGCCTGTTTGTTCAGTGGACTATTTCAATTCAACTTGAAATTGGAGAAAGGTGTTACGAACTTTACAAGGGTGGTAGGGTTAGGAAAGCAGAAAAGAGTCCTCCTTAAGGGAGGTGGGCAAAAGGTTCACAAGAGGAAGCTACCTCACGCAGGACCAAGCAAAGGTAGGGGAGTCCATGCATCCCCTTTGGAGCGAATCTCTCTCCCACCAGCTATTTTTTGGGGAAAATCTAAGGCCAATCAACTGTGAGTCATTCTGGAATGTAACATTTGCTCCTTTCTGAAGTACGACTGAAGATTTGCAAGATCAGAAATTGTTTTCTCCTCTAACTGTTTTTCCTTTCGTTCTGATGCCAGATATGGGAAGGAATCGACATAGAGACCAAGATGCACGTCCGCTTCCTGACGCTGGAACCCATGGCGTTCTGCTACTGACGACGGCGGAGTAGCTGCAACTGGGTGGTGGGAGGCTTTGGAGATAGCTGTGAGCTTGTTTGGGTGGGTGGGAGGGCCACATGTCTCTTGGAACAACTGCCAAGGATCCACGAAGTTCAGACTCATCTGGACCAGCCACATGGATTCCCGTCTTGAGTTGAAGACCAACCTTCCAGTGTCCAGTAAAAGGACCTCTGCTTTGATGCAATGTTGTAGTGTTTTATATATTTGTGCAGTTGTTATGTGTTTTACTTCTAGCTTCCTGGGCTGTTCTAAACACCAAAAGGACCCCCCCCCCATGAGGGGGGGTGCCATTATAAGGGTGTGCCCATGGTAAGCTAGCTTTCGGGGCGAATGGCTATATATATTACAGGTAGTCCTTGACTTAATGGCCACATTTGAGTCCAGAGCTTCTGTTGCTAAGCGAGGCATTTTGTTAAGTGAGTTTTGCCCAATTTAATGACTTTTCTTGCTTCATTTGTTAACTGCAAATGTTGAGTTAGTAACATAGTTCTTAAGTGAATGTCGCTTCCCCATTGACTTCGCTTGTCAGGTCACAAAATGCAATCACCTGACCCCAGGACACTGCAACCGTCATAAGTACGAGTCAGTTGTCAGCTTCTGAACTTTAATCACATGTCATGAGGATGTTGCAATTGTAAGCTTTCTTCAGTGCTGTTACACCTTCAAATAGTCACTAAATGAACTGTTTTAACTCAAGGGCTACCTATACCAGCTTTTATGTAGTAATATATATAGGCATTCTTCTATGTAC